GACTCAACTCACGTGCCCATGCGCTCAAGAATCAACTAAGCTGGAATACTTGTTTTCGTGCCATGTCGTGTATTTAACCAACACGTGAGGTAACGTTTACTGCGTATAGCTAAGCGAGTCGATGCCGTACGCGAGCGTCGGTTTTTCTCACGCAAGTTCATATAAAGTCTATGGCAGGTAAATAATGTCCGGGTTTAATAATGTAAAGTTTATAGTTTTTAAAAAAAATATTGAATATAAAAATATGCGTATGGGAAGTTCTATTTCGCTATTATATATTTTTAATTTTCTAAAAATAACTAATTTTGTTCATTACAACGTAATAAATAAACATTATATCTTATCAATGTTGTCATTTAGTTTGGTTTATTCTTGTCTCATTGCTTCTGCTTTTGATAAATGTCAAAACAGAGACATTTTCATGTTCTTGTTTTTAGTTATACCGACACACATCTTAATTTTTCACTAGTTGTCCATGACTTGTCATAAGAGATCGAATCCAGGAAAGTATACGGGATCAGATATTCCACAGCAATCTCAAACCTATGCAGCAGCCTTGAGGCACCGTATCAAATCCTTTCATAAAATCACAATAAAGAACATCAACTACCTAACATCCGAGTCCAATACTTTCAATAATTGTAGGACAGTGGAACGACCACTAATAAAACCAAACTGTTTTTCAGATAATAGGTTATTGAGTTTTGTACTTTCACATACTGCAATAGTTAGACTAATTGTATGATAATTCCCAGCAACCCTTTTATTACTCATCGTAAAATAGTTGTTAAATACGAGCCAAAGTCCAGTCATATGGAATTTTACTTTTCTCTAATGATACATTAAAAAAATATGGATAAGGGAACACATAGTACATGGCTAAGCTCCTAGGATGGATTTCATCTGGACCAGGTGACTTGCATACATTTAGTGCTGCAAGCTTCTTCTCCACACACTTATTATTATTAATATTTTTCTTCCTCTCACAATGAGGCAATGTCCCTTCAGGTTCTTGTGTGAAAACTGAACTAAAATATGTATTAAGTATTTCCGCTTTCTCTAGATCTGACGAAGTCAAAGTATGAGTATCTTCATTTAAAACATTAATCACATACAGTTCATACATACTTGATTGAAGCTTAGTTTTATATGTCATGTTAGCATGGATTCCTAAACAGTTAGGTAGTTTGGTCTAATGAAGATCAATGAACTTTGCCCGGGAAACTGTGCCGACAAAACAAATCGAAAATCCTGCGAAAAAAAGTCACGGAAAGTCCAAAATGACAGAAGTGAGCACTAGCAGACCTGTGAACCGACATATACATGTACTAGTAATTTGTTGATATCAGACAGAGAACATTTCACACTCGTACCACGTGACACTTTATCGTAGTCATAGATATTAATTTCTTTCCGTTAGAGTGTGAGTTGTTGAATCTGAGCATTTCACCAGCAAATAAAGAACTATTCACTCCTCACGTTAGTACCTAGCTAATACAGATTTTGTTTATTGTGTGTGTGTGTGCTCTGATAATAAAATATCAGGCTGTGTTACTTTGTCGGTGTACCAAATCTGTAAAGTTGCCAGCTCAACTTTTGAGGTAACGTACGCATGCGCAAATCAGCGCGTGGCAACCGTACCCTCTCAAAACAAACTTAGCGCATGGTTTCATTGAAATGGTAATTGTATTTACAACGAATACTTCATACTCTGCTGTCACCGAAGGCTAAGGAAGTTATAAGTCGTCCTTGACAGGTAAGCTTACAATTAAACAATCTTTAAAACGGCATAATCGACGATGTCGCAACTGCATCTACGAAAATAAAGAAAATGGCGATGCATCATTTTTCATGATTCTTTCCGAACAGATCGTAACACACTTTTAGCAGTCATTTGCTGAGATGTCAAATCAACACAGGGTTGATATGATATCCCAGTGAATGAATGTCGTATTTTGTATGTGTCGTATGATAATAATCCTTCCCACTTTATTGTTACACTGAAGTCAGCCAATGCATGTTTATTTATAAATGTTATTTAAAAATTATTTAAAAAAATTTATAAACTAATTTTAAAATCAGTTTCATTTAAATCCAAATGACCCCCTTCTTTTGTGAATCGCTGGAACATCAATCAAATATGAAATTAGAACAGAAATTAGACTACTTCATTGTAGGAGCTCATTTGTGTAACTGCTGTTTATATTATTTTCGACCAATGACTACGTCACACTTTTCAACCTTTTTATGGAAGTGTAAAGGGTTTCACGACCTGAAGAATGCATTGAGAAACCAAGAAGTGAAACACGAGTGGCTAATTTACTTTACTGTAAAGTTGCATGCATTAAAATTAAAATAATAATAATTTATAGAATAATAATATAATAATAATAATATTTAGAACTTATAATGGTGTTACAGTACCATTTCAGAATAGGTGATTTTCCGTTCAACTGCGAGATATTGCGAGTTGCATGAAAGATGCGCGTCGAACCTCTGTCGCAAAAATGAACGATTTGATTTTGAACTCAAATTTCTTTATTTTGTAGCTCACATCGACTGGCCGATCTTCGACAGAGGAATATTGCTTTTGAATACCTTCATCGAAATTGACCATCATCAAATGTGTACAGCACATTATTAAGCTTGGAAATATCCCTAAAATACTTTCACGTTTGTTGAATGCCACGCGATGTTTGACAACACTATGACGCTATGATCTTTGTTTGTCCTGTTTTTACGTTCGATTTCACGCATAATGCGTGATTCTCATAGTGAACGGAAAATGGTCAACTGGCCAATTTTAAATCTAACAGCCATTTTGATTTATAAAAATTTATTAAACCTTTGAGATGTATCCTGTATTTCTGTCGTTCACTGTAACAATTATAATATGCCTGACTATTTATTATTAATGACTACATGTTTTTCATACTGTATTGCAGATTTCATCCATCCAGCTGAATCATGTCAGTCCAATATGGACCAGAACGACTCGCTTTACCACCTGGATTTAGGAATATCCTTAA